GTGGCAGGAGTCTGGGGGCTGGGGGGCCTGGCAGGGTGAATGGACATTTGCATCTGGGGGCAGTTTTCTCAGCCTGGGCTTGTGGTTGGTCTGCAAGCGTGATGAGATGGAGTGGATAGGTGGGATTCTGAGGTTCTGAAGGTGGTTGCTGGAGTTGTAGGGTGGGGGTAGGGAATTGAGGGCGCTTCTTCACTGAAAAGTGGCTGGGAGGGTGTCCAGGACTTTCCCCTGAAGAGACCTTTGGTTTTCAGGACTCTGAAGAAGAGGAACTAGCCAGTACTCCCCCCAGCTCAGAGGACTCGGCATCAGGATCGGATGAGTAGAGAGGAGGAAATTCTCTCTCCCTGCTTGCCCACTTACACCTCTAATCTCCCCATCCGTGTTTTGGTACCAGTTTCTCCTCACATGAAAGGTAGCCCTTGGATTCTGGGTCATCTGTCCAAGCTCTCCTACTGGTATGCATTTCACTGGGGTGGCCGGGGAGGCACATTCCTCTGCTGCTTCACAAGATAGCTCTCTATAATTTGGGGAGAAATTGGTTGGGAGGCAGGGCAGTGCAGGATCGAGACCCTCGTCCTGCTTTCCAATCTTGCAGATATGCTGCTTCTTGACCTGTTCAAGTTGCTCCGGCAAAGGGTCATGTGAGGCTAGGCCTGTAGCTCCTAACGGGGGCCAATTTGTACTTTTATTTTGTATTTCTGGTCTGTGAAAATCAACATTTAATAAAGGGAACTGACTTTGGAAACCACGTCGTTGTGCCTTGTCTGTAGCCCTGTTGCATGGCCCCTGCTTTTTCTGGTGGTGTCTGCCATATTGCCCTGGCTGGGCAGGGCCCTGCTGGCCAGCCGGGAAGCAATCTCCAGGTACGTCCTGTTCTGTTCCTAGCTGGACAAGCGTTGGTTTTCACCCTCTTCTGCTGGGACTGGCCACCTGAGAGTGTAGAAATGAGAGCTAATCTGATTAGGAAGTCTCTCTCACAGTTCCACTCCATTAGCCTGGCTCAGAGAAGGCAGCTTCTGGCTCCATCCTTAATCACCTATGAGTCAAGGGTCTTCCAAGGCTTTAGATAATTGAATCAGGCTTTAGATAATTGAATTGACCAGTTTCCCTGCAACCAGGAGAGGAAACCTGAGCCTGGAGAGGTGGGGAGGATGGGTATGTGTGGTGTGTGTGTTCATGTCTGATGGGAATACAGGAAAGGTATGATGGAGTGTGTAAAGCTTTTGTTCTTAAGGAAGGGGGCATACCACATTTTGGGGTTGGGAAGGAAGCCTGGCAGAAGGTAAGGAAAGCAAGGCTGCCACCGTCTTCCTCCAGGTGGCTCTAAATCTGAATTTACACACGTGGGGTGGCCACGTTGCGTACGTGCTCAGGAAGACTCCGGGGGTGGCAACAGAAAGCCTCTCTGGTCCGCCAACGGCTACCTTCTTTCTTGCCGTGACTCTATGGTGCTGCTATCAGTACAGGCGCTTGGGCTCGCGTTTCAGCCGTCCTACGGCAGCCTCCTCTCTAGGCGGCCGTCTCGGTGGCCATTTTACCGGAGCACTCCTGAACTACCGAATTGCGTTAGTTTCGCCGGGTCCGAGTTGCGGAAGGTCCCTCATTTGCAAGACTCATGAATAATTGAGTACCAGGGCTGAGCTGTTTGCATTTGGTCGGGCGAGTTCCGTATGGGCTTGCCACTCGCTGGGTTGCAGCCGTTCTTGAATTTTCATGAGGTGCTCTGGGGGCGTGGCCATGGGCGGAGCTAGGGGCGGGGCCCCGCCGGGGCTCGCTCTGGCTCTGTCCCGCGGTGACGGCAGCAGCAGCGGTGGTGGGGACTGGCGTCGGGGCGCCTGACCGAGCGAAGCCAGATCCCCGGGGAGCGCGTGAGCGAGCGGGGGCTGGCAGGAGGGTGAGGGAGGGGGCGGGGTCCGGGAGAAGGCGGGGGAGGGGCATGGGAGAAGTGGGCGCTTTGCAGCCGGGACCTCGGGGTGAGGTGGGGCAGGGCGTCTCCGGGAAAGTTTGCAGGGGCCGGGGGCGTGGGCGCACAGGGGAGCTGGCGTATGGGCACGGGGGCGAAGGGTGCACGGTCTGGATCTTGTGCTGCCGGAGCCAGAAGAAAGGGGGGAGGGGGAGAGGGTTTGGGGCGGGCTGAACTGCTGGCCGACCCCCGCCTTCTCTCCTCTCCCCCGGCCCCTTGGCACGCCCCCAGCCACCCCAGGCCGCCCCCACCCGGTCCGCGTCCCCAGTCCCCTATGTGTTCGCGGACTGCTTCGCATCCCGCGCACAGGTCCTCGGCTCTGCCTTCTGCTCCTCCTCCTCCTCTTTGGCTGCCGCCGCCCCCTCTGTGTCCAGAGCTCCCCACTGGGCCCCTCCAGACGGCCCCTCGCCCCGGGCTGTTCTATCTTCCGGTTGGCCCTCCCGCCAGCAGTTTACACGCTGTCCCTGCCGACCTCTCCGGCCTCAGATCCGGCAGGAGAACCCAGGGTCCAGAGGGGCCATCCCATCTGCGCGGAGTTCCCTCCAGGCCTCTGCCCCGGGCTTGAGCTGCCCAGCCCCTCCCCAGCCATTCTGGCATCCTTTGCTCCCAGGGATCTGTCAGCTCACCTCCCCCGGACCCCTGGGGGTAGGGAGTGGTCGGAGCCGCTGCAATTCTGCAGCTTCTGGTCGCGGTCTGGTCACCTGGGGCTCCTGGCTGAGGCCTCTGAGCTGCTGTGGCCCCCTCCCCAATTGGGGAATCCACGATCCCACGTTCATGACTGCTTTCCTAGTGCAGCCCCTCACACCCCAGAGGTCCCCATCAGGCCCCCAGGTGAGAGGATTTTTCGGTTCTGGGTCAGTTTGTCCCCATTTCTAACCACCCACACCATGTCCCTTGTAATAATGTTCAAGGACAAGGAAACGATCTCGTGTTTTAGTTTTATTTTTTCTGTCATATGGCTCCTCCCTCATGCATGCTTGGACGGGGCCATACTCAGTTATTTTCCCACCCAGTGGGCAGTCCTGGGTGGTGGTTGACTGACTGGTCGACCAGTTGATAGTCCTAGGTTTCTCTCTACCCTTCACACATCTTCTGTATTTGAAACAGTGGGACAGGGTCAAAGGTGGGTGGGATGGGTTTTGCAAAGGTTGGGCACCAGAGGCCCCTTCTTAGGGTTTGGCGCTGTCTTTTCAGACCAGCTGGAGTATATGAGGGACATGATGCCCCTTGCAGATTGGAAGGGGTTGGGTTGCCTTTATGTGCTTTGTGAGCACCAGGTTATATGACATTCCCCTTACTTTTGACCTCAAGAGACAGGGCTCTATTCCCCAGGCTGGAGTTCCTTGGGTGCCTTGTGAGTGGGATGGTGTTTCAGGAGCCAGGATGGGAACTGAGGAGGTGGTGGAGTGTCTGAAGTATGGGTGACATGACTGCGGTGTGTGGAAGTGAAGGAATGGTCTGGGAATGCTGGCAGGCTGGGGTCTAGGGAGATGAAGAAGTGGTTACCTGAGATAACTTTCTCGTTGGTGAGATTGTGAATGGAATAATAGTAATAGTAACCAACATTTATTGGACACCTAATGATGTGCTAGGCATTGTGCTAAGCAGTTTGCATGCATAAAAGGAGCCTTGGTGGCACAGTGGTTAAGCTGCTAACCAAAAGGTTGGCAGTTCGAACCCACCAGCTGCTCCACAGGAGAAAGAGGTGGCAATCTGCTTCTGTAAAGATTACAGCCTTGGAAACTCTATGGGGCATATACTCTGTCCAAAAGGGTCACTATGAGTTGAAATTGACTCGATGGCAGTGGATAACAGGAATCTCACTTAAGCTCCCCAGCAGCCACTATAGCTGTATTTTTTAGGTAGGGAAACTGCGGCTTAGAGAAGTAAGCAACATGCACAAGGTCACATAGCTACAAAGTGGTAGACCCACCCAGCATTTGAATCCTGGTTTTCTCAGACCCAAAGCTCCTATTATAGATGTGGAGGACGGGTACCCATTTGGATTCTACCATGGACTGTGTCTCTTGGTTTAATTTTTTCCTCACTCGCCTGAAAATCCCTTCATGCCAGCCCTAAGCTGGTGAGTGATGCCCACATATCCCCCTTTTTCATAGGCTGTGGCCATTCCACCCTGGGTGTCCTAGAAGGGAGAACCCCAGGGAGTTTTCCCCCAAGCCACTCCACCCCCCGGATGTTCTCAAGCCCTGTCCCATTCTCCCAGCCCAGGCCTGGGCAGACTCCTCCTTCCTCTTGGCAAGGCTCTGGAAATCCAGTGGGAGGCCATTGCTATGGCAACAGGACTAGGCCCTGGCTTTACCTCATCAAATTCTAAGCTGAAGCCAAAGCGATTGAGAAATTAAAGAAAAAAATGTATTCCAGATGTTTACTTTTTATTCCTTATTTTTCCGTGTTTGGATGAGACAGTTCTGAGGGAGGCGGGAGTGGGGCAGGGATGTGGAAGGGGGTGGCAAGGGGAGAGGGAGCCACTCCCAGCTGGAGGAGGGAGGGAGGGAAGGAGGGTGAGCGGGAAGGGGGAGGCCGGCGGTGGGGCGGAGCCCCAGGTTGGGGAGGAGCGGGTTTTTCCCGTCTCCCATGAGGTGATTCACTGAGAGACTTGAGACTTTGTGGCCCTCCTTGTTTTACCTCGAGTAGGTAACTCCAGCGGGGCTGCTGGACCCAAGGGGTGCCTTGGGAACGGTAAGTGGAGTGACTTAGAGAGCTTGCCAGAGGAGGGAGTAGTGGGTGGCTCCCTGAAGCTCCAGGACTCTGGGGTTGGGAGGCAAGAGTTGGAGAGTAGCTGGGAAGAGGAGAGGACTTGGCTGCTGGAGACGTCCTGACCTCCCCCAGCCCCCTTCGGAAGTTCCCTCTTCCTGTCCCACTCTCTGCCTTGTGCTAGGAGACTTCCCTGACCCAGCCTACTGCCAACGCCCAACTCTGTTTCCTTCTCTTCCTTTCCTCTCTTTTCCTGGGTCTTTAGCTGCCCCAGCTCATGCCTGTCTGCTCCCCGATTCTCATGCAGGGTCTGCCGCATGTGATGAAAGTCTCAACTCTCAGGGAAGGCACAGCCATGGCTTCCCCGCCGCCCCGGGAGATGGAGGAGGAGCTGGTGCCCACTGGCTCTGAGCCAGGTACCCATGGGTGCAGGGTGGGGTGGGTGGCTGGGGAGGAGGGTTAGAGGGGCAGAGACTATACCCCAGTTCTGTCTTAGTGGGAGTGGACCAGCAGTGGTTCTATTGAGGTGGGAGTGAGGATGTGCAGATGAGTTTGAAAGGGTCTCAGCCCCTTTGGAAGAGGCTGTTGAGACCCTCCGGGGCTGTTTGAGATCCATAGAGCCCCAGCAGGTAAGAGCAGATGGGGGCTCTTCAAGATGATGTGATCAAGCTGCATGTTTTACCGAGGGGAAACTGAGGCCTAGAAGGCAGAGACGGGGTTTGAACCCAGGCCTCCTGGCTCCCTGTCTAGACTCCTTTCTTGCGCTGAGCTGAATGAGGGTGATACCAGATTCTATTAGAAGGGAGGTGGCCATGAGTAATTCCAAGGTCTTTTCTTTGGCACTGGAATGCCTTGTATAGCATGCAGCTTTCTGGGCTTGTTTTTTTTCTGTAGCAGATTGACTTCTGTTTGGCTTAGGTCAGTAGTAAATTTGCATTCCCAATCCTATACCGGATGACAGTGGGGAGGTGGCCTGGGAGTGCACTGGGGGTGGGGGCAGCAGGGAGGCAGGGTCCGGAAGCCCAGCTGGGCTGAAGAGTTTGCCATGGGCGACAGTAGAGTATCAATAGTAGAGTATCCCAGCATACAAGGGGGAGGACTAGACTGAGGAGATGGTGGGCCACACAGCTTGATATGGGCAGGCAGGCATTTATTTATTGACTCATTTGCCCATTCATTCATTCATTTTTTTCTTTCTTTTGATAAGAACTTATGCTAGGTACCAAACAGGGTACAAGGAGAAATAAGGTACCAGCTGGGCCCTTAAATAACTGTAACTTCTAAGGGGGAATTGCCTAAATATTTTGGGAGTTTGGAGAAGGGAGAAGATACTCTTAGGATGTGTGTGGGAAATCAAGGAAGGCTTCATGGAAGAGGTGGCATTTGACTTGTGCCTAGAAGGATGTGAACATACTGAGACTGGAGGGAGGGAGATGAGGTGGAGTAGGAAACACAAGAAGTTCTGCTTCCTAGCTCTTCTGACAGCGCCCCCCCCAACCCTTTCCTTTTGGTAGGTGACCCTCGGGCCAAACCCCCCATCAAGCCCAAACCCCGGACCCTACCCACCAAGCCAGCCCTGCCTGCCAAGCCCAGCCTGCTGGTGCCCGTAGGGCCTCGGCCCCCGCGGGGCCCGCTGGCTGAGCTGCCTTCTGCCCGGAAGATGAACATGCTGGCAGGACCCCAGCCCTATGGTGGCAGCAAGCGTCCCCTCCCCTTTGCACCAAGGCCTACTGCCGAGGCCCCTGATGGAGGAGAAGCAACTCGAGAGACTGGGAAGGAGGAGGCTGGCAAAGAGGAGGTGCCCCCCTTGACCCCTCCAGCGAGGTGTGCTGCTGTGGGTGGCGTACGGAAGGCCCCGGCCCCCTTCCGCCCAGCCTCAGAGCGCTTTGCAGCCACCACGGTGGAAGAGATCCTGGCCAAGATGGAACAGCCTCGGAAGGAGGTCCCTACCAGCCCTGACCGCCTCTGGGGCTCCCGCCTAACCTTCAACCACGATGGTAGTTCACGTTATGGCCCCAGGACCTACGGCATGGCTACCAGCCCCAGGGATGAGGATGGCGGGACCCTTTCCAGGGGATGGTCCCAGGAGGGGCCCCTGAAGTCTCCAACAGAGAGTCAGGAAGAGCACAGCAAGAGCCCTGAGGGGAGGTAAGGGCTGGGAGGCCATATGTTTTGTTGTAGCCTGGAGGCTGGGGGGCTGAGGATACCATGGGTGGCCCCCTGGGGCCACAGGCTTCCCCTCTAGGCGAGTTGTGTGCTGTGAGTGCAGGTACATCCTGGTCAAAGTGTCACAAATGTACTCCTCTGGTGACAGACGACTAGGACCCTGCTTACAGAGCTGCTACATGTTTACCACAGAAAGTTCAAAAGTCAGGCGTAGAAATTTAGCTTCCGTGTACTGAGAACTGGGCATCCAAGATAAGTATTTTCCAAACTTGGTCCCCTTTAATGCACAGCCATCCTGTTGGGTGAAAAGAACCTTAGACCTGTTTTAGAGAAGGGGACAATGAGTCTCAAAAAACGACTTCCCACAGTCCCCCAGCACGTAAGAGGCAGAGCTGGCATTTGCATTCGGGGCTGTTTGATTCCGAAGCCTATGCTGTGGGTGGAGCAGTGTGCCAGGCCTGAGGTGGGAGGGGCAGCAGGGTGAGCAGGCATAGCCTCTGCCAGAGGAGGAGTCCGATGGGAGAGATAAGACCGCACATATCAGGCTGTGTGAACTCACAGATTGTGGCTGGGCTGGAGACAGTTGCATTAAAGACACTTCTTCGGAGCAGTCCAGCAGGCGCCCCTTGGGGTGGTGGGCACAGGGCATTGGAGGAAAAGGCTGAGGGATCTCAGGCCCCATCAGCTGCATGGAGGAGTACCTTCTTGAGGCAACAGAGAGCCAGCTGGAGGCACAGCTGTCCCCCTGGGTGGCTCTGCTGGGTGCACAACCTCCTTTCCCCTTCCTGCTTCTGGGAAGAGCAGGGCTGCTGTGGTCTGGGCCCAGCCAGAAGCTAGTGGCTCCTGCCTTGCCCTGCCCTACCCTGCCCACCAGCCTTGCCTTTCTCTCACCTGAAAGTGCCTGGAGGCGGGGGCCTGGAGTTAACCCTTCCCATGTTCCAGAGCAGAGCAGCCAGGCCGTGAGGTCACACGCTGCTCAGATTGGGTTCCACCCTCCTTCCTCCTTCCCTCCCTTGCTCCAAGCAGGGCTTAAGAGGCACAACTTCAGCCTTGGAAGATCACTCTCTTCCCCCTTCTCCTCCCCCTGCAATCCTTCCAGAAGTATTGGCAGGGCAGCTGGGACCAGCTGCATGTTCCCTGGCTGGGGGAGAGCCTTAACCCCTTAGGGGTCATGGGAAGAAGGAGTTGTCTTTCTGGAGACCACTGAGGGGTCTGGACATACAGGAAGCTTTCCCCAAAGGAGCTGGGAAATGTAACCCTTTCTGTGCTGGCAGGCAGTTAGCACTAACTGTCTCCTGGGTTCAGTTAAACTTGCTTAGGGAGACTCTGTGACCAACCCTCCTTTCTTCTCCATTCTGTGGGAGGCTTGGACATTCTGGACCTCCATTTCCTCTCATTCTGTTTCACAGGAGCCCCCCTTCTGACCTGGCCTTCAACGGGGACCTGCCCCAGCCAGCCAGCTCTGGGCCATCTGCTGACGTGAGTTACCCTCCTGTTAGGAATCAGAATCACAGCATTGGAGAGCCTGGAGGGTCATCTGTGATCATCTGTTCCACTCTTCTCATAGTTCAGATGGGGAAACTGAGATCCATGGAGGGGATGGCTTGCCCGAGGTTGCTCAGCAATTTGGCGTCAGAGCTGGCCCTGGGATCCAGATTCTTGACTCCCAGACTGGTGCTCTCAGTTGCCAAGATGGCCAAGCGTGGTTCAGCCCACGAGGCGGCTCCTTGTAAGAAGTAATTATAGTGACTACGTTGTTGTTGGGCGACATTCTGTTGTGATCTGTAGAGTTTTCATTGGCTAATTTTTGGAAGTAGGTTGCCAGGCCTTTCTTCCTCTTCTGTTTTAGTCTGGAAGTTCTGCTGAAACCTGTTCACCATGAGTGACCCTGCTGGTATTTGAAATAGTGGTGTTATAGCTTCCAGCATCACAGCAACATGCAAGGCACCACAGTACGACAAACTGACCGATGGGCATAATAACCGTAACATTTATGAAGTACCTTCTGTGTGCAAGGCATATCCCACGGACATTAACGAACTTAATCCTTATGGTGACTCTACATAGTCACTGCAGGATAGTAGGTCTTGCTAGTTCCACGTGAGGATGAGGACACCAAGGCTCACAAAACTTATATTCTTCTTCAGGGACACCCATGTAGGAAGAGGCTGAGGCAGGATCTGAGCTTTCTGACTCCTGTGCTCCCTGGCTATGCTGCCTTCCCCAGGTTCAGAGTCAGGAAGAGCCATGTTTTAGGGGTTTCCTGTTACCTCCCCTCCTTGCCCCCACGGTATACCCGAGTGCTCAGGGGATTGTCAGCCTGCTTTTCTGAGTCAGTGATGGAAAGGGTGGCCCTTCTTCCTCCCAGAGCCCTTGCTAGCTGCTGGCTGTCCCGACTCCTATGATGGAGACCTGACTCCATCCATTCATCCATCCGACAGTGTTTACTGAGTGCCTGCTCTGAGCTGGCTACTGGGGAGATATCAGAGAACAAACCCACGCCATCCCTGCCCTCAGGGAGCTTACCTTCTAACGGGAGGCAGACATGAACACTGGCACCCATGGAAACCAGCAGATATGTGCTGTGTATCAGACAAATGCTACGGAAAGACTGAAAAGTAGAGTGCTGGGACAAGGGGAGAGAGGGGAAGGTCTACCTGAGAAGGTGACATTGGAAGAAGGCCAGGAAATGAGCCACGTGGATGCTTGGGGAGTAGCATTCTTGGCAGAGGGAACAGCAAGTGTAAAGTCCCTGGTGTCTTATTGGCAAGGAAGCTGGGATATGTGGGTCATAGTGAGAGAGGAGGAAATGGATGGTAGGTGGAGATCCAGAGGGGATGGGGCTGGATTGCATCGAGCCTTGCAGGCTGCTATAAGGACTTTGGCTTGAGAGAGAGGAAGAAGGCACTGGATGGGTTGGAGGAGGGGAGAGACACAAGCTGACTTAGTTTTATAGCGTCACCTTGCCTGCTAGCTGCAGGGAGGTGAGAGCAGCAGCAGGAACCAGGTAGGAGGTGGTTGGAATAGTCCAGGTGGAACTCCAACTCGGCCTCTGGAGCTAGCCTACGATGGAGGTGGTGAGAAGTGGTCGATTCGGGCTATAATTTGAAGGTGGAGTGGACAGAGTTTGCAGATAGGTTGATGTGGGGGAGAGAAAATGCAGAATCAAGGATGACTTCAGGGCTTTTGGGCTGAGCAACCCGAAGGATGAAGTTGCCAGTTACTGAAAGCGGGTATTTGCAGGGCATGGGGAGGATTGGGGGAGATAGGAGGAGCTTGCTTTTGGACTTGTTGAGTTAGAGATGCCTTTTAGACATCTCCTGGACATGTCAAGTGGGCAGTTGGAAGTGCAGGCCTGGAGTTCAGGGGGTATGAGCAAGCTGGAGAGGAGAACTTGGGAAAACTGACCATCAATGTCTTCAGCATCTCCCGGTCTCACCGCTACAAACATCACTTGCCGTTGAGTCGATTCCCACTCCTGGAGAGCCCTTGCATGTCAGGATAGAACTGTGCTCCGTAAGGTTTTTTTCTTTTAAATTTTTAAATGTCACCGTCTGATATTTTGTTTTTGTTTTTTTGATTTTATTCTGTTATTGCTGTTTAGAATATACCCGGCAGAACATATACAAATTCAGTAATTTCTACATGTACAATTCAGTAACATTGTTTATATTCTTCAAGTTGTGCAGCCATTCTCCCTCTCCTTTTCAGAGTTCTTCCTCCCTCATTAACAAAAATTCACTGCTCCCTAAATTTCCTGTCTAGTCTTTAGAGTTGCTGTAGTCAATGTGATCCCATATAGATGGATTTTAAAAGAGCACAATGCTCAAGGCAGACATTCTTTATTAGTTAATTACACTGAGCAGTTATTTGGTTAAACGAAGACTTCAGGGGATATTTTTGGTTTACAGTTTAAGGTTTAAAGATTATCTCAGGGCGGTAGTTTCAGGAATTTATCCAGCCTCAGTGGCTTTATAAAATCTGGATTCTGTGAGAATTCCCTAGGGTTTTCAGTGGCTGGTTTTTCAGAAGTAGATTACCAGGACTTTCTTCTGAGGTGCCGCTGGGTGGACTCAAACCTCCAAATTTTTGGTTAGCAGCCAAGCGTATTAACCATTTGCACCACCAAGGACTCCTTCCCCACTACAGGTGCTCATTAAAACCTTCCGACTGGGTGAGATGACCAGGGGAGTAGGTGAAAACCCAGGAGCGAAGAGGAGCAAGGGCTAAGCCCATGAGCACTTGTGGGTCAAAAGGATGGGGAGAACAGAAAGGCTAGCAAAGGAGACTAGGAGGAGGTAGGAGGGAAGCTGGCCAGGGTAGAGTCCTGGGGGCCAAACGCAGTGTATCGAGGAGGAGGGCGCAACCAGCGTGTCGAATGCCGCTGATGGATCAAGTAAGGTGAGCACTGAGAATTGGATTTAGCTACATGGAGGTCATTGGTGACCTTGGCAAGAGTGGTTTAGGTGGCGAGGTGGAGGCAGGCCTGTTTGGAGTGGGAGACTGAGACAGGAGGAACTGTAGGTGGTGGGTTTAGGCCACGCTTCCAAGAAGTGGTCAGTAGCTGGAGAGAGGTGTGGGGCCAAGGTGGTGTTTTATTTTTGTTTGTTTCTGTTCAAGACAAGAAGGAATTAGAGCAGTTTGCTGTTGGAAATGATCCAGTAGGGAGGGAAAAATTGATGATGCCGGTGAGAGAGGAGGAGGTAGCCTTGGCTATGAGAAGGGACAGTTCATCTGTGACCGTAAAGGGGTGGCAGAGGGCACGGCACGCATGCTGGTAGTGGGGGGCGTGGGGGTGCAGGTGTGTGGGTGTTCTCTGCTGCTGGCTTCCTTGTTCTCAGGCAACAGGAAGCAAGGCCGTCATCTGAGAGAGAGGATGGAGAGGAGGTGTTAGAGGTTCAAGGAGAGGAGATGCAAAGTCGTTGCCTGGAAGATGGGGAGTGAAGGGAAGGCGGAGGATGTAGTGGGATTGCTGGGTCGCTGTAGGGCCCATGTGAGGGCCGTGAATCTGAAGTCAGACCAGCATCATGGTGTGTGCTTCTCTCCAGCCACGTCTAGGCCCTCGGGCACTGGCATAGGGGTGGTGGAGAGGTGTGTTGAAACAGGTTAAACAGAATGAAGGAGGGAATGAGGGAGGTGAGGGTTGTGCAAGAAGTGACTTTAATGATGATAAAAAGAGAGATGAGGATTGGGGGGACAGTGGCAAGGAAGTAGGATTCATGGACTCTGCTGCCCAGAGGGCCTGGAGTATTGAGAGCATCAGGGGAAGTGAGTAAGCTGGACAGATAGGAGGTGGGGTGGGCGAGTGCAAAACTGGAAGTGGAGATTTCAGAGGGGTGCAGTTACGGGTAAGGACAAGGTCTGGGGTATGACCCTGGGAGAGGGTGGGCACAGAATCACTGAGGGAGAGGAGGTCAAGGACCAGAGAGCCAGGATGTTGGAATGGTTGCCTGTGTGGCCGTTGAAATCACTAAGAATTGTGCCACGTGTAGTGTTGGGGATTTCACGCGGGAGAACCGAGTTTGACTCCCATTCAGTGTACTTTGTGTGTGGCCACCACCCATCTGTCAGTGGAAGCTTGCATGTTGCTATGATGCTGAATAGGTTTTCACAGACCTTCCAGACTAAGATGGACTAGGAAGAAAGGTCTGGTGCTCTACTTCCAGAAATCAGCCAGTGAAAACCCTTGTGGATCACAGTAGCCCCATCCTCAGCTGATCACGGAGATGGCACAGCGTTTTGTTCCGTTGTACGTGGGGTCGCTGTGAATCGGGCCAACTCGACAGCAGCTAACATCAGCAGTGTTGGGGAGGATGCAGTGGGCCAGGAGGCAAACTTTGTAAGGAAGGAGGGCGGATGACCCAGGTCTGTAGAGGACTACTGCGTGGAGGGGCTGTGGGTGGGATAGGTTGAGGGCATGAACTTCAAATCTAGAGTTTGTGTTTAGGGAGAGGGAGGGTGGAGGGAACAGAAGGGGCCCTTGAGAAACAAGCAGGACCTCCTTCCCCTGCCCAGAGCCTGCAGGGGGGTGATGGAGAAGACACAGCCCCCCTGGAGAGGGCGGCAGGGGTAATGTGATCTCCAGGGAGGGCAAAGGTCAAATGCAGCAGGACTCCTTCATTGTCTGGGCACAGTCACAATGGAGTGGTCATGGGATACCAGGTGCCTGGTGCCCCCTCTGTCCCGTTCCACTCCACAGCGTCCTCTCCTGCCCCCTGCCTCCCATCCTTCCACTGCATCCACTCTTTCTGGTAAGTCCTATACTGAGAGGCCATGTGCACACATCCTGTTTAATCCTTACCTAACTCTGTCAGATGGGCATTGTTGCCATCAGCCCCAGTTTACAGATGGGGAAGCTGAGGCTCAGGGAGACCAAGTGCCCACCATACAGGAGGGCATACAGCTTGCCCAAGGCAGTGCTGGCGTGGCTACAAGCTCTTCCTCTTCCCCCCCAGTGGCCTTCTGCTTCCCAAGGCCTTCCTGCTTTCTCAGGAAGTGTTGGTAGCTATGAGCGCTCAGAGTAGGGTGGGGAGCCCCCACTTCCCCCCGTAGCTGCTCCTGGGAGCTGGTCTGGAGAGGCCTTGAGCTTTAGAGTCCTGCTCTGTGGCCAACCTGCCCCCTGCCCTCACTCCCATCATGCTCAGATGGTCAGATTCCCAATTTTCCTTTTCCCTAAAGCAAGTGTTCTTGACCCATGAGCCACAGACTCTTAGATCCATGGATGAGCTTTGAGTCACAAGTGTGGGATTCTTGAACTGCCTGAAATGGTGTGAATGATACTGTGTGAAAAAGGTTATGTGTATATTCTGGTGAGAGGGCCCAAAAGAGGGGTCTGTCACCCTGAGAGCAGTCCCTGGGTGGTGCAAATGGTTAAGCACTAGGCTACTAACCAAAAGGTTGGCAGTCTGAATCCACCCAGAAGTGCCTCAGAAGAAAGGCCTGGTGACCTGTGTCTGAAAAATCAGCTATCGAAAACCCTATGGAGCACAGTTCTGCTCTGACATACATGGGGTTGCCATGAGTTGGAATCAACTTATTGGCAGCTGGTTACTGGTGACCCTGAGAAGTGTCAGAACCCCTGGTCTAATCCGCCTTCGGAGCCTCTCCTCTCCCAGTGTCCTGAAGGGCCAGGTCCCTAGAGGCCTCACTCTGAGCTGTGTTTCCTCCTCCTGGTCTGTGGGATCAGAACGTGAGGAGGCGGCTGACCTAGGGTCTCTCTGTGGCTGGAGGGGACGTCCCCGACCCAGCTGAGAGGTGAGTGATGGCTCTTGACCTTTTTCTTGCAGGTTCCCAAGCATCGGGTCCCCTCTAGTCTAGGCCCCTCCTCAGAGAATGGAGGCTGCACCAGCCTTGGCCTCACCATCGACGTCTCAGACCCTGTACCTGGGTCTCCCCATCTTCACTCACCTGATGCGAGCCCTCCCCGCCCCTCTCAGCTTCCAGAAGCTCAGAGTCCTACAGAGCCCGGGGCTTCTCCCTGCCTCCCGGTGACTCCGGCATCCCCAAGTCCAGTCCTGCTGGACGAGGGCTCCTGTCAGCCCCCTGACCTGGGGCTCCCTGCTGAGGGAGCCCCAGAGGCCCTAAGGCCCTGCAGCCCTCCCCTGGAGAAGGTCTCTGGTCACCACAGCCTGGAGCAGCCCCCGGCCACCCCCCCCCGGCCTCTGATCGAGGAGGGTGAGTTCCTGGACCTCACACAGACGTTTCCATCTGAGGGGCAGGTGGCGGCTGAGGGTCATCCAGACCTCCACGCTACCAGCCTAGCTCAGCGCCGGTTCTCCGAAGGTGTGCTGCGACCGCCTGGCCAGGACCAGGAGAAGCTGGGGGGCTCTCTGGCTGCCCTGCCTCAAACCCAGGGGAGCCAGTCGGCCCTCGATCGGCCTTTTGGGAGTGGCACAGAGTCCAACTGGAGCCTGTCACAGTCGTTTGAGTGGACTTTCCCCACGAGGCCCTTGGGCGTGGGCTTGTGTCGGCTGGACTCCCCGCCCCCGTCCCCCATCACGGAAGCCCCTGAGGCCGCCGAGGCCGCTGCTGAGGCTGGTGACTCCATTGCATCCAATGAAGAGGAAGGCGTGTCTGAGCAGGGCTCAGGGGCATGGGCAGCCCCAGAGGGGCCGGGAAGGCCGAGTTCCTGGCTGCAGGCAGATGACCCTGCAATCTCCCCAACCCAGAAGGGCCATGGAGAGAGTCAACCCCAATCTGCAGCTGTTGCCTTTGAGCCCCTGCCTACAGCGGGGATCCCACCTGGGTCAGCTACCTTGCTGCAGGCTGAGGAGAGGGATGAGGAGCGGGGGCTCCTGGCTGGACAGGAGTCCCCTCTTCCTCCAGCCACCAGGGAGGCAGCCTTGCCCATCCTGGAGCCCATCCGGGGGCAGCAGCAGCCAGCACCCTCTGATCAGCCCTGTGTCCTCTTTGCTGACACCTGTCACCCCGGGCAGGCGTTGCCTTCTGAGGAGGAGGCAGTGACCCTGGCCCGGGCTGAGACCACCCAACCCAGGACAGAGGCTCAAGACCCCTACAGGGCCTCCCCAGAGCCAGTGAGCCCTGGGAACAGTTCCCGCTGGCTGGATGACCTCTTGGCTTCTCCGCCACCCAGTGCTGGCAGTGCGAGGCGGGGAGGTGGATCTGAGCTGAAGGACGTGCAGACCCCCGGCACCTGCTCTGAGGTGAGGCCAGGGCCAAGAGAGGGAGGCCAGGGCTTGGGTGGGTTTCATTCTTTCACCACCGATTGTATGGGTCAGGAGCTTGGGATACAGCTGAGAGCAAGGCATCTGTGGGCCCGCACCTCATAACTGCGGTCTAGCAGAGCTGACTGAGCAGAGGGCACGTGGAGCAGCAGCATGGTGGTCAGGGTTTAGTGCAAGTTCATACCCTGGTCCAGCATCTACCAGCTGTGTACTTCTTGATCTCTAAGGCTTGGAGTGCTTTGGTAATAAGAGCATCTGCTTCTTAGAGTTGAATTGAGGTTGTAAAATGAGATGTGGAAAGCGGTTTGTGTCATGTTTAGCATGTAGTCAGTTTTCAGTCCGTTCTTATGAGTCATATTATAAAAGGCAAAAGAGCATAACGATTGAGAGCATGAGCTCTGGACTCAGACTGCCCGGGTTCAAATCCTGGCTCTGCTGTTTGTTTAACCAGATGTGACCCTGAATGTGTTACTTTTCTGCCCTGTGCCTCAGTTTCCACACCTGTAAAATGGGGATGACTGTTGATATGTGTCTCATAGAGTGACTGACTGAGAGTTAAATGAGTTGTAATACATGTAAAGTATGCTAAGAATAGTGCCTGGCTTGTCGCGAGTGCTGAACAGGTAGGTGTTGGCTTTTAGGAAGTTATTACCGTTTAGCCCAAGATCTGTCTTGGAGATGGGAGCTGAGGCCCAGAGGGGAGAGAGGTTGTGCAAGGTTACCCAGAAAGTTGGGGCTGGACCGGTCCAGTGCTCTTTCTCCTACCTGGCTGCTTCTGAGTTTAAAGGCAAGGGTCCAGGTGTTTTTTGAAATTTTTCTGGACTGTCCTGGGCTGGTGGGGTTGGGGCTGGAGGAAAGGAGGAGCTGGGGGCCTCTGTGGGAGGCAGGTAGGAGGACGAGGAGGAGCAGGAAGGGGTTAAGGCTGAGCTGACTCCTGCAGTGGGGGTGTGGGTGACTCAACTGGCTTCTGGGTGGGGCTGCCTCAGCCGCAGCTGCTCCAGAGGGAGCAGGCCAGGGCGAGAGCCGGCAGCCAGAGCTGTCGGACAGGTCTGGGCGAGGGAAGTGGCCCAGCCCTGCCCTGGTGCTGCCGCACCCAGCAGCCCTGGGCAGGCGGTGTGGTGAGTGAGGGCCATGGCCCGGCAAGGGGATGGGGAGGCCAGCGCGTCTGTCTTGGAGCGGCTGCTGGCCAATGCGGCGCTGCGGGACGAGGCCGGCCGGCTTCGCAGCCCTGAGCCCAGGACCCTCCCGCCTGTGAGGGTGAGTTGGGGAGAATGGGATGGGAGTGCCCTGAGCCCTGGCTGGGTCTTCTCCCTGTCCCAAAGACTCTGCCTCCCCCTGGGAGGAAGTGAGAGGTCTTCCTGGGGCAGGCTGAGTAGGGGGGTGCATTCCCCTTAGGGAAGTTAGGGTTGTGTTGGGATCTTGCCTTGGAAAGGTTATTGCAGGCAGATTTTGAGTCATGATCTCTTCTAATTGAAAGTGCCCTCCTACCCTACCCCCACGTGACAACTCCTCTTCCTGGCAAGCTTTCTCCTGGCCTTTGTCCAGGTGTTGCCCAAACATGACCGTGGGACCGTCCATTGATGCCCGCTGCGTGCCCTTGGTTAATTGTCTTGCACCAGCCCTATGCAATAGGAATTATCCTCATTTGAAGAGGAAGACCCTGAGGCCCAGAGTGATTAAGTGATTTGCTCAAGGTTACACAGCTGAGATGTAAACCCAGACTTTGTGCTGCTAAGTGGGGCTCTCGGGCACTAGGCAGTGCTGTCGTTCTGGGTTGACTCTAAGCATTGTTTCTTTGTCTCTTTTTTTTTTCTTTCCTGATTCCCAGGGACTCCTGGGCTGGGCCCAGAAAGATCTGCAGAGTGAATTTGGGATTGCAGCGGACCCACAGCCCAGCAGTTTCAGCCCTTCCAGCTGGTCCCAAGATGCTTCCCAAGACTATGGCCTTGGGGGTGTGAGCCCTGGAGGAGACCCGGGCCTTGGAGAGAGCAGCTGGACCAGCAAGTATGGGCAAGGAGCGGGGGAAGGGAGCACCAGGGAGTGGGCCAGCAGGTGTGGCATCGGCCAGGAGGAGATGGAGGCTGGCAGTGGAGACAGGAGGGAGGCGTCCCAGGACTGGATAACCGGGAAGCCAAACCCACTTGGCACTCTGCAGAACCCAGAGTCTGCTGCACAGGACTGGGAGTTCAGAAGGAGGGACTCCCAGGGCACTTACTCCAGCCGGGATGCAAGTCTTCGGGACTGGGAATTTGGGAAGAGAGATTCTCTGGGCGTGTACACCAGCCAGGTTGCAGATGAGCAGGGCCAGGAATTGGGGAAGAAGGAGCCGCTTGGCCGTTACAGCAGCCAGGATGGAGGTGAGCATGACCAGGAGTTTGAAGAGAGAGATGCTGCACTCGGTGCCTTCGGCAGCCAGGATGCCGAGCAGCAGGGCCAGGGCTTCGGGCAGAGCACCTGGATGAGTGACTACAGCAGTGGCAGCAGCTCTACCCTCCTCGGCTCCCAGGACAGAGGCTTCAGCACGAGAGCCCTGAGTGCTGGGTTCAGCCCCGAGGAAGCCCAGCAGCAGGATGAGGAATTTGAGAAAAAGATTCCGAGTGGCGGAGACGGCCTTGGCGAGGCTGGCAGGGATGCAAACCAGCCAGAAGAGAGAGAGCCAGGGGGCCTGTTCAGCCCCAGCACCCCCCAGTCACAGGATGGGGCACTTGGGCAGACAGAGCAAGGCAGTGATGCCACCCAGGAGGTCGAAGGGCTGCAGGGCAGACAGCAGGCAGGGGGCCAGAGCCCTGGTGATGCTGACCTGGAGGATAGGGAGACCGGGAAGCGAGGCTGGGCCACTGAGTTCAGCCTCAGAGTTGACTCGCAGCTGGAGACCACATTCAGCCCGGGGCGGCCAGACTGGAGTGATGATTTCTGCATTGAGGGCACGGAGAGGAGCCACCAGTTTGGCATCATCGGCAATGACAGAGCTAGTGGTGCTGGCCTGAGCCCTTCCGGCAAGATGGGAGGTGGCCACTTTGTGCCTCCTGGGAAGAACACAGCCAGGCCTGTGGATTGGACTGACCAGCTAGGCCTCAGGAACCTGGAAGTGTCCACCTGTTTGGGTGCCAGGGGCTTGAGTGAGGCCAGGGAGAATGCCGTGGGACAGATGGGCTGGTCAGACAACCTGGGCTTGAGGGACATGGACCTGGCTAGCCGTTTGGAGACTGGGGGTTCCGAAGAGCCCAGGGGAATCAGAGTTGGGGAGGAGGACTGGACTTCTGATGTCGGGGTGAGGAGCAGAGATTTTTCAGGGGTGGGGGAGGTAGGAAGCCACAGTCAGGCCAGGGAGAGTGGTGTGGGGCAGACCGACTGGTCAGGCGTGGAAGCCGGAGAGTTCTTTAAGGCAAGGGAGCATGGAGTGGGACAGGCAGACTGGACACCTGACTTCGGGCTGAGGAACATGGCCTCAGGGGTAGGCTGCAGCCCTGGAGAGCCCCGACAGCTTGGGGTGGGCCAGATGGACTGGGGCAACAATCTGGGCCTGAGGAATTTGGAGGTGTCTTGTGACCTGGAGTCAGGAGGGTCCCCTGAGCCCCGAGGATGTGGAGTGGGGCAGATGGACTGGGCCCAGGACTTGGGTCTGCGGAACGTGGAGCTCTCGGGGGGCCCGAGTGAAGCCAGGGAGCATGGGGTGGGCGAGGTTGACCAGTGCCCAGAACTAGACCTTAGGAACAATGGGGGCTTATCCCCAGACCTGGAGGCCAGAGACCCCTCAGAGGCCAGGGAACTGGGAGTCGGCGAGACAAGTGGACCAGAGACCCCTGGTGAGGAAGACTCCTCACCTTCCTCAGAGTCCTGCCGCCCTGAAGACCTTGGGATGGAGATGGGAGATGTCTCAGGCTTTGGAGACAGGTAAGGGAGCCCATCCTGGTGGGGGAGGGAAGGTGTGATGGCTTTTCCCAAGGACTTCTAGGGTTTGGAAAATTGAGACGTTTCAGACTTTGGATTTTTTAAAATTGAAATATGATACAGATTAATTTCTTCTTTGAATGATGAATGTCATGTTTGAGGTGTTACTCTTTTGCCACCTGTGCTTTAGGCTCTTGGTGATTTTGGGGTTGAGACCCTGCAGGGGGAAATGGTTTATGTCCTGTCCTGGATGGTTTCTGGTATGTCCCTTGCTTGTGCACAGCAGCTATTTTGCATTCCTCTCACCCTGGAAGTCATAGGTGCTCCCGGACCAGGGAACATGGGTGCTTCCATAGATGTAGAAAAGAGAACTTCATGTATTTTTGGCCTGGTCTAGTACAGGTTGAGGATTCCCTGGGTGGGGCGCTCGACTAATAAATGAAAGAAAGATTGGTAGTTCGAAACCACCCAGAGACGTCTTGGAAGACAGGCCTGGTGATCTGCTTCTGAAAGGTCACAACCTTGCAGACCCTATGGAGCAGTTCTACTCTATACACGCAGGGTTGCCATGAGTCCCAATTGACTCGATAGCAACTAACAACACTATAGGTCGGAATAAGAATGGACTTTGGTCCCCGGTGATTCTTGCAGAGGTTAGGAACTTGATGCTTCTTGCCTGCTCTGTCATGAGGCTCGAAGGAGGAGTGGTTTCATAGCAACCTGAAGGGCACTGGGACCTGGCTCTTGGCCCCATGACCTTGGCCTCCCTGCACAAAGTTGCTGAAAGACAGAACTTTTAAAAGGAACAGATTGTAGTTTTATGAACCAGTCACTGTCTCATGGATTTTTATGTTCTAAAACCAACTGAGGTGATTTCGCACCCAGAAGGGTAGCTGAAAAGGCATTGCATCTATTTCATTAGTATTTCCATCCACTGAGTTTTGGTTTTGTTCTCTTTACTGACTAGGAGAGCTTCTCACAGGGCTTGTGGGGAAGAAAGGAAGGGAGATGTTGGCTGGGGTCTGTGTTCTAAGTGGGACAGGTGGTAGTGGGAGGAGGGTGAGAGGGACCAGGAAAGTTCTACAATCACTGGGGTGTTGGAGTGGCTCGGGAGACATGTATGGGGTTGAGGAGAAGTGGTGGTGGTGGGGGAGGTGGGCAGAACAGGCTTTGAGGTGGAGGAGCGGGGAGAATGCCCAGGGGAGTTGAGGAGGGAGCTTTCTGGGGAGCCAGCTGTTGGGGGAGATGGAGGAGTGTGGGGGCAAATCCAGGAGACCGAAGGCTGCAGGGCAGGGGTGAGTGCCCAGGACTGGTGCTCACAGGATCCCGGACGAGCTGCTGGACCTCTCTGAGCCTCGGTTTCTAACATTTAGACTCAGGGAGCTCAGAGTTCTGGCTTTAAAATTTCTGTTCATGGGAGCTTGTAGGGTCCTTGTGGTTGCTCCCGATTTCTCTGCCCAGGACTCAGAGAACTCTGCACTCTGGTGCTCAGCTTCATGTCTTACCTCCTTCATCTTCACAGCTGCCCTGTGAAGCAGGAAAGAGATTGTTATCTGCTCCAGTTTGCAGGTGGAGAGGTGATGTGACCCGCTTAAGGCCACAGAGTCAGTAATACTGCTCTCAGACTTATCGATAAGAAATGCTTTCAGGTGTGGCCCCTGCTCTGCAGCAGTTTAGACTACCAGGAGAGGGACCCACAGCTCTCCACCTTTTCCCTCTGACTGAGAACTGCCCTGCAGCGAACAATTCAAACCATAAGTGATTGAGAGTGATAGTATCTTTTCCTTTGTTTAAAATGGAGGCGGCTGCCCAGAGGTGGGGTGGGATTAGGGTGGGGTGGGGTTATGGCGGGACTGGATCCCTGGGTGGTGCAAATGTGAAATGCTTTCTGCTGCTGACTGAAATGTTGGAGGCTGGAGTCTACCCAGAGGCACCCTGAGAGAAAGTTCTGGTGATCTTTTGAAAAATCAGTCATTGAAAACCCTATGGAGCACAGTTCTGCTCTGACACACGTGGGGTCACTGTGAGTTGGAGTCGCCTGGACAGCAACTGGCTTGGGTTGTAGAAAAAAGAGGGTCAGGGCGTGACACTGGGAGTCCTGTGCACTCAGCTCTCTGAGCTTTGATTGCCCTCACACGTTGGAAACCTGCAGATTTTTCTGGCTCTGTTAAGATAGTCTGGCCAGTGTGGATGTGAGCTGAGTTTAGGGCTCAGCTGTGGTGCCCTGGTGGCACAGTAGTTAAATTCTTGGCTGCTGACCAAAAGGTTGGCAGTTCGAATCCACCAGCCACTCCTTGGAAACCCAATGGGGCAGTTTTATTCTGTCCTATAGGGTCGCCATGAGTCGACATTGACTCGACAACAACGGATTTGGTTTTGTTTTTGTGTGACCGTAAAGGTGAGCCTCATTTTATGCAATGGAAAACATGCCTCCCTCGCCCCCCGCCCCCAGCAGAAAGAAAAGAGTTGCTTTGGAGGGCTGGTTTGAGTTGTGTGCTGTAGGGCAGCCTTTCCCAACATGTGTTCTAAAGAATACCTGTCCACGAGTAAGTATGGAAAGTATTGCGTACTCTGTGGCCATAAAGGAGACTTTGGTGTGTGTATGAACATGCATGAGCACGTTAACGATGATGAGAAACACAGCAATAAAGAAACCTGTTTACCTTTTTCTACCCAGTGTTTCCCAAACTTAATTTGAGCAATATCCAAGGAGCTAGTGTCCTGAGCATGACTTAAACCCACTGCTGTCGAGTTGTTTCCAACTCATAGCGACCCTATAGGACAGAGTAGAACTGCCCTGTAGGGTTTCCAGAGTGGCTGGTAGATTTGAACTGCCAACCTTTTCGTTAGCAGCCGAGCTCTTAACCACTGTGCCACCAGGGCTCGGAGCTCACTTAGGGAAACTCTATACTATGGAAAATTTCTCTTTGAAGGAAATGTTCGGAGGTTCCTTTTGTAACAAGATGCCCTTGTGGATAGCTCAGGGTAGCCTGGCTTTCAGGTTTGAATCCCGAGTCTGTCACCAGCTCTGTGATCTTGAACAAATTACTTATCAGTGCCTTCAAGTTGGGAGTAATCATAATACATACCCACTTCATAGGGTTGTTGTGAGGGTTAAGAGTTAATACATGTTAAATGACAGAAACCTGTCTGGCAGGTGGTAATCACTGAAAGCGTGTTAGCTCCCTGTATTTGTATCTGTTTTGCCAGTTTGGATGTGAGGTGTCCCTAAAGTGAGGCCCTTGCGGACATTTCTGTCACTGTTCCTTTGTTGGATGAAGGTACCCCTGATTGTGGTCATTGACTAGACTGCTGTCTGGCACAGCTGTGGCAAGACTAGCATGGGGATGGGGCATGGTGAGAAGTGAGAACACGGGCTCCCCTCATCTGTGTCTGGGGCCACCTCACCCTCTCGAATGGCACTTCTGGGTTCCCATGGAGCTGGCTTTCCATCCTCTCCTCTCTCTGGCCTCCTGCTCACCTCCTGGCTCTCCCTCAAGGGATGCAAGAGCCTCTGAGCCATTTTGGGGTCATTACAGAATCTGAGAAGAACCTCAGTGATCACTGAGTCCAGCTCCTTTATTTGTGGTTGGGGAAACTGAGGCCCAAGCTTGTGACTGTGGGCTTCATCATGTTTCCTCAGGTCCCAGCCTTGTGGCCCCCTCTCGGGGTGCCCCTTGTCTCACTGGGGTCACATCCTTCCAGCTCCAGCCCCGAACCCTTTCATATTTCAGGCCTGGCAGCCTTGCATACCAGAAAAGTAATTTTTTGCAGATCTACTACATGCCATCATGGTGTTTGCACCTGGAGTGGGGTCATCAGGCTGCTCAGAGTCTAGACAGCATGAGGGGCTTAGACGGTATAATATGAGGCGTGCTCTCAGGCCAGGAATCCATGTTGAGGATGATGACAATTGCCCTAATAATTTGTTCCATTCATCAAGCACTAACTGTGCCCTGGGCACATATTTCTGTCAATAAACCCAGTGGAGTATAACCAGTTGCTGTTGAGTCGACTACTACTCATGGTGACCCCGGGTGTGTCAGAGTAGAACTGTGCTCTGTAGGGTTTTCAGTGGCTGGATTTTGGAAGTACCTTGCCAGGCCTTTCTTCCAAGAGGCCTCTGGGTGGACTTCAACCTTTTGGTTAGCAGCTGAGTGTGTTGACCGTTTGCACCCCAAAGCATAGGTACTTTTATTATCCCCATTTTACAGGTGAAGAAACTGAGTCTTAGAGTGGGTCCGTAACTTTGCTAAAGCCACAGGCGTAGTAAGTGATGGAACCTAGATCTGGACCAGAGTGGCCGGACTCAGTATCCAGGTTCCTGACTACTCTGCTCTCCTGCTTCCCTGCTGGGGCGGGGCTCAGGTCATAGGTGTTCTGGGCGTCCAAGAGATGGGAGAGCTCCCTGAGATGAGGTGATGGGGAAGTGGGGTTTAGATACGTAGGCAGGACGATATGCCCTGCATTCCTTGGGGCTGTCGCCACCCCAGCACCCATCCAGGCTCCTCCCCTAACCTCTGCCTGTGTGGCATGGGGCCAAGTCTGGGGAGTGAATCTTTCCAACCGACTGATGGGTGTTTCACATCCCTTTAGCTCTAGGGGCTTGCCCTCAGCTTTCCCTCTGCCCTGCCCCAGGGAGAGGCTCTGGGCAGAGCCCCTTGGCTGGGTGGGGTGCTGTCTCCACCCTTTCCCTCCCTAGTCTCCCTGCTTTTAAGCTGGTTGTGAGGGTGAAGTGGCTTTGGCCACCGTCCAGGCCTGTTCCCAACTCCGCTGCCTTGTGTCCTTCTGCTGCACCACTGCCTCCTCCCCCCACTCCCCATTCTGCTTTAATTTCCATCTGTCAGCAGCTTGTGGAAGGACAGATTGACACATGTTCTCTCCCTCCCTCCCCCTCTTCTGGCTTGGTATTGACTCACCTGCCTCCCTCTCCTCCCCTTCAATCCTGCCGAGAACTCAGCAGCCTGACTTCCGGGCGGGCGCTGCCCCACCGGCCTTTCCCAGGCCCGACTGTGTGCCTGCATGTGAGCGCAGGGACAAGTTGGTGTGTCAGGTGTGGCTCTGTGCTGGGCTTATAGGTGTGGGGGCACTAGGCGTGCTGAGAGGGAGTGACAGCCAGACAGCACACATGCTGCCTGTGTGAGGTGTGCAGTGTGTGTGTGTGTGTGTGGTAAGGAGTGACAGCTGGACAGCACACACGCTCCCTCTGTGAGGAGTGCAGTGAGTGTGTGTGTGTGTGTGTGTGCATGTGCACATGGGTATTGTAGGGACTGACAGCTGGACAGCACACATACTCCCTGTATTGGGAGCACAGTGAATGTGTACAGTGTGTGTATTTTAGGGAGTGACAGTGGGACAGTGCACACACTCTGAGGTGTGCTGTGAGTGTGCATGCGCGTGCACGAGTGTGTATTTTAAGGAGTGACAGGTGGACAGTGCACATTATGAGATGTGCTGTCTGTGTGTGTGTGTACACGTGTGTGTATTTTAAGGAGTCACAGGTGGACAATGTACACTGTATGAAGTGTGCTGTGTGTGCAGAGTGTCTGCACGCATATATGTTGTAGGGAGTGACAACTGAGCAGCTCACACACTCCCTGTGTGAGGTGTGCTGTGTGTGCAGTGTGTGTGTGTATTTTAGGGAGTGAGACTGCACACAGAGTCGTGCAGTGTGTGTGCATGCGTGTGTATTTTAAGGAGTCACAGGTGGATGATGCGCACACACTGAGGTGTGCTGAGAGTGCATGTGTGTGCGCATGTATGTATTTTAAGGAGTCACAGGTGGACAATGCACACACTCGGATGTGCTGTGAGTGCATGTGTGTGTATTTTAAGGAGTCACAGGTAGACAGGGCACATACTGTATGAGGCGTGCTATGAGTGTGCACGCCTGTGTGTGTGTATTTTAAGGAGTTACAGGTGGACGGCGCACACACTGTATGTATGAGGTGTGCTGTGAGTGCGTGTGCGTGCATGCATGTGTATTTTAAAGAGTTACATGTGGACAGCACACATACTGTATGAGATGTGCTGTGAGTTCGCACGCGTGTGTGTGTGTATTTTAAAGAGTTACAGGTGGACAGCGCACACACTGAGGCATGCTATGAATGTGCGTGCGTGTGTGTATTTTAAGGAGTCACAGGTGGACCCTGCACGCACTGTATGAGGCGTGCTGTGTGTGCAGTGTGTGTATGTATTTTAGGCAGTGGCAGCCAGACTACACACGCTCAGAGTAGGAGGTATGTGAGTCCGTGAGCGTGTGCAGTGCGCTGTGCATGGTGTGCGTGTGTTGTGTTTTCAGGGTGCGGCAAGCGTGGCAATCTGAAGAGGCATGAGCTGCGTTGGGGCCCAAGGTGACCCAGCCCCTTATTCACTCAGCAGATGTTTATTTAGTCCCTTACTGGCTGTGCCCTGAAGGCACACAGGCAGAGGCCTGTATTTGCCCTTGGGGAGCTCACAGGCAGCAGTGGGACAACACATGAACAATGGAGCGCAGGACTCTGGGGCGGGGCTGGCGCAGGTGGGCACGTGAGGCTTGTAGAGGTGAGGGAAGGGAACAGGACAGCTTCAGAAGAGGGGCTGAACTGAAAGACCAGGAAGTTAAGCTATGATAGGGAGCTTTTGGGGGTGAGGGAGCAGTTTGTTCAAAGACTCGGCAGTGTGCAAGGCCCTGGTGTATTCTGGAACTCACTGGCAGTTCTGAGACTGGGCACAGGGAGGTGTGACAAGGGGGCTGAAAGAAGACACCAGGTTGGAGAGCCAGGTGGGCCAGTACCTGACTCATCCTAAGGAAAGTGACTACCCAAACAGGTCCCCTGGGAGGGAACACGTCGACAACATCAGCAACATGAATAGCAGCAATAATAATACAAACATAACCAGTGGCCACCGAGTTGACTCTGACTCCAGGTAACCCCATGTGTGTCAGAGTAACTGCTCCATGGGGTTTTCAGTAGCTTATTTTTGAGAAGTTGATCACCAGGCCTTTCTTCCAGGGCACTCTGGATGGACTCAAATCTCCAACCTTTGGTTAGCAGCTGAGTGCGTTAACTGTTTGCACTGCCCAGGGACTCTAGCAATCAATACTGGTAGCTGTTATTTGTAGGGCACATGCTGAGTGCCAGGCACTGTACAAGTGCTCTAGATTCTCATTTCCTCTCTGCAGTGACTCTAAAGTTAGAGGAAACCAAGGCTTTGAGGGGTGAAGGGACTCACTCAGAGTCTCCGTTAGTGCCTGGCGGACCTGGGATTTGACCCTGCCAGGCTGGTTGCCCTGACTGCTGTGTTGCTCAGGGCTCTGACCATGCCCTTCCTGAAGGAGTCTGGGAAAAGCATCACAAGGAGAAACAGAAGGGTTTGCAGGTGGGGGAGACAAGTTTGCCTAAGTGGGCTTGCGGGAGGGGGATAGACTTACGGTTGACCTTGTTCCTTGTCTGTCACTTCCCAGCCCTGGCAGGTGCCCTGCCCGCTCCCCACCCTCTGGCTCTCAGGGCCTGCTGGAGGAGATGGTGGCTGCCCACAGCTCCAAGGCAGTGGCCCACAGGGAGTCGGCGGCCTCGGCCCTTGGGCGCCTGTCGCAGGAGGGAGAAGCCATAGCTGTTGCTGACCAAGGGGAGCCTCTGGAGCATGGCAAGGACCCTTTGCCCTCTTGGAGGCCCCAGCCTGATGGTGAAGCCAGCCGGACAGAGGAGGTGGACGGCGGCTGGGACCCCCCAGGGCCTGGGCAGGGCGAGCAGGGGCCGGTACAGCCTCCTCAGAGGCCCCCCCAGTGCCTGCCCCCCAGCTCCCTGAGTCAGGACTTCTCCTTCATTGAGGTCAGTGGAGGGCAAGCCTAGGGCTCTTGTGTGGGATGTAAGTGATAGACCCAGAACCTGGTTCCTGGAGCCGCCCCTTAGCCATGAGGAGGGAGGGAGAGAGCGGGTTGTGGGTATGTTGTGTGAATAGGAAGCTCCGGACATTAGGGGGGATCAGCTAGCTCATGGCCAGCTGCTATTAGGGGCTCTGGTTGGACTGGGTGGGACCAGGGGACAGCAATGGCAATGGTGGTGCTGTTTTCTTGAGCAGGACACCGAGATCCTCGACAGTGCCATGTATCGGAGCCGTGCCAACCTGGGGCGCAAGCGTGGGCACCGGGCCCCAGCCATCCGGCCCGGTGGCACCCTGGGTCTGTCGGAGGCAGCGGACTCGGATGCACGCCTGTTCCAGGACTCTACAGGTAGGGCCCATGCATCATTTGTTGATGTCTGTGTCAATGTCGAGGTGATCCTTGGGTGGTGCAAACTGTTAAGCACTTGGCTAATAACCAAAAGGTTGGTGGTTCGAACCCACCCAGAAGCCCCTTGGAAGAAAGGCCTGGCGATCTACTTCTGAAAGGTCACAGCCATGAAAACCCTATGGAGCAGTTGTACTCTGCAAAACATGGGGTTGCCATGAATTGGAACCAACTTGACAGCAGCTCGTTTGTTTTTTTTTTGGTGTCGATGTTGGGGGGCACTAGGTCCAGGTTGTGCAGGGTTGGGGAGGTCTGGAGGTCTGCCTTTCACTGCCTGTGCTAAGCCCCCTCCCTGGGCCTTTGCAGAGCCACGGCCTTCCCGGGTGCCATCATCCGATGAGGAGGTGGTGGAGGAGCCTCAGAGCCGCCGAACACGGATGTCCTTGGGCACCAAGGGGCTGAAAGTCAACCTCTTTCCTGGCCTGAGCCCATCTGCCCTGAAGGTACCCTCTGATCATTTAGCAAACACATCCAGCCGCCTGGCCATCTGGTTACATTGCATCCAGCCTTATTTCTCTCCATCCACCTATGCGTTCCCCAGTCCCTCTCTCCCCTTTCCCTTCTCACGCGGCTCTCCAGTGAGGGCCCTCTGAAGATCCCTTTGTGCCCTGCTGGGCCCTGTGCTGTGTGCATGCTCTTGTTCCCTGAACCTCCCGGGGTATTGGGGCCCCAAGCTGTGCCCATAATTAATTCTGGCAAAGGGAGTTTAGTTGTTGCTGGAGAGGTACAGATAAGGGCCTGTTTAGAGAGAGAGGTTATTTTATAACAATGGGGCAGTGGGGCATGGGAGGATACATGGGGAAGGCCTCATGTAAGCATTTGATCTTGGCTTTGAGGCACACTTAGGAGTTTGCACAAAAGGTTAAATGCTTGCTGCTAACTGAAAGGGGTACCTCGGAAGAAAGGCCTGGCAATCTACTTCTGAAAAATCAGCCATTAAAAACCCTATGGACTTCACCCCAAAACAGCACAGTATACATTCTACTGTAGTGCACATGGATCCTTCTCCAGGATAGACCAGATTTTAGGGCACAAGGCAAGTCTTGATAAATTTCAAAAGATTGAAATCATACAAAGTATTTTCTCTGATCACAGTGGAGTGAAATAGAAACCAGTAACAGAAAAAAACCTGGAAAATACACAAACATATGGAAATCAAACAACACACTATTAAACTACCAATGGGTCAAGGAAGAAATCAAAAGAGAAATAACAAATTTCTTAGACTCAAATGAAAATGAAAGCACAGCATACCAAAACTTACGGGATGCAGCGAAAGCAGTACAGAGGGAAACTTACAATGATAAATTCCTACATAAAAAAAAGAAGAAGGATCTCAAATTAACAGCCTAACCGACAATTCCAGGAACTGGAATGAGAAGAGCAAACTAAGCCTAAACCTACCAGAAGAAAGGCAATAACATAGATCAGAGCAGAAATAAATAAACAGAAAAATAATACAATCAATAAAACCAGAAGTTGGTTCTTTGAAAAGATCAATAAGATTGACTGACTTTTAGCCAGACTGACAAAGAGAAGAAAGCAAGAACTAAAGTAAAAAATGAAAGGGGACATTACAGCTCACCTGATAGAAATAAAGATAATTATGACAGAATATTATGAACAACTGTATGGCAACAGACTGGATAACCTAGATGAAATGGACAAATTCTTAGAAGCACACAACCTACCTAAACTGACTCAAGAGGAAATAGGAAGTCTCTATAGACCCATAACAAGTGAAAAGATTGAATCAATGATCAAAAACCTCCTCCTAAAAAAGTCCTGGACCAGATGGCTTCACTGGGGAGTTCTACCAAACATTTAGAGAAGAATTGAGATCAATACTGTGTAAACCCTTCCAAAAGATAGAGAAGGAAGGAATACTCCTTAATTTGTTCTATGAAGCAAACATAACCCTAATGACAAAATCAGACAAAGACACCACAAGAAAAGAAAACTATAGGCCAATATCTCTTATGAATATAGATACAAAAATCCTCAACAAAATACTAACAAACAGAATCCAACAGCATATTAAAAGAATCATACACCATGACTGTCATGGTTTGAATTATGTCCCCCCAAAAATGTGTATATCAGTTTGTCTGGGCCATGATTCCTGGTATTATGTGATTTTCCTGTATGTTGTAAACCCTGCCTCTATGATGTTAATGAGAGAGGATGGGTGGCAGTTGTGTTAGTAAGGCAGGACCTGATCTACAAGACTGGATTGTGTCCTGAGGCAATCTCTTGAGATATAAAAGACAGAAGTGAGCAGTGAGACAGGGACCTCATACCATCAAGAAAGCAGTGCCGGGAGCAGAGTGCGTCCTTTGGACGGGGGTCCCTGCGCCGAGAAGCTCCTAGTCCGGGGGAACACTGATGAGAAGGCCCACAGAGAGAAAAAGCCTTCCACTGGAGCTGGCACCTTGAATTTGGGCTTTTAGCCTACTTTGATTGTGAGGAAATAAACTTCTCTTCGTTAAAACCATCCACTTGTGGTATTTCTGTTATGGCAGCACTAGATGACTAAGACAATGACTAACTGGGATTTATTCCAGGAATGCAAGGATGGTTCAACATTAGAAATTCAATCAACGTAATACACGACATCAGAACAAAGGAAAAGAACCATGATCATCTCTATGGTTGCAGAAAAAGCATTTGATAAAATCCAACATGCTTTCTTGATGAAAACCTAAAGAAGATTGGAATAAAGGGGAAACTCCTCAATATGATTCAGGGAGTATATGAAGAGCCAACAGTCAACATTATACTTAATGGAGAAAGACTGAGAGCTTTTCCCTTGAAATCGGGAACAAGACAGGGGTGCCCACTTTCACCACGTCTATTCAGTATTGTATTAGAAATCCTAGCCAGAACAATAAGACAAGAAAAGAAATAAAAGGTATCCAGATTGGAAAAGAAGTAAAATTATCTTTATCCACTGATGATATGATTCTATATTTAGAAAATCCGAAAGAGTCCACAAGAAAACTTCTAGAGCTAATAGAGGAATTTAGCAAAGTTTCAGGGTACAAAGTTAACAAAAATCAGTTGTGTTTCTATACAGCAGCAATGAGAAATCTGAAAGGGAGATTAGGGAAACAATTCCCTTTACAATAGCATCCAAGAGAATAACCAGGGACATGAAGGACTTATACAATGAAAAAGTAAAACACTGCTGAAAGAGATTAAAAAAGACTTAAATAAATGGAAAAATGTTTCAGGTTCATGGATTGAAAGACTTAATATTGTTAAGATGTCAATACCTCCCAAAGTGATCTATAAATTCAGTGCAATCCTGATCAAAATTCTAACAGCCTTCTTTACAGAAATAGAAAAACCAATCCTCAACTTTATGTGTAATGGCAAGAGGCCCCGAATAGCTAAAACAGTGTTGATAGAGATTAACAAAGTAGGAGAACTCACACTTCCTGCCCTGGTGGTGTAGTGGTTAAGAGCTAACCAAATGGTCAGCGGTTTGACTCCATCAGCCGCTCCTTGGAAACCCTATGGGGCAGTTCTACTCTGTCCTATACTGTTGCTACGAGTTGGAATCGACTTTACAGCAATGGTTGTTGTGTTTTGTTTTGTTTTTATATACAGCTGCAGTAATCAAAACAGCCTGGTACTGGTATAACAGTAGACAGATAGACCAATGGAATAGAATTGAGAGTCCAGAAATAAACCCACACATCTATGATCAGCTGATATTTGAGAAGGCTGCTAAGTCCATTCAATGGGAGAAGAAGAGTCTCTTCAATAAATGGCTCTGGGAAAATTGGATTTCCACATGCAGAGAAATGAAACAGGGTTCATGCCTCACACCATACACAGATATGCACACTTAAACCGTAAAATTCTTAGAAGAACAAGCAGGGGCAACGCTGTCAGGCCTAGCTTTCAACAATGGATTATCTAATATACTAACAAAAGCACAGAGGGCAATAGACAAAATAAATAAATGGGACCTCATAAAAATCAAAAACTTTTGTTCATCAAAAGACTTTACCAAAAAAGTGAAAAGACAAGCTACCAACTGGGAGAATATCTTCGTAAACCATATATCTGAAAAGAAACTTATAACCAAAATATATATAAAATTTTTGACAACTTAACAACAAAAAGACAAATAACCCACTCATAAAATGGGCAAAGGACTTGAATAGACATTTCGCCAAAGAGGACATTCAGTTGGCCACCAAACACATGAAAAGATGCTCAGCTTCATTAGCCATCAGAGAGATGCAAATCAAAACCACCATGAGATATCATTTCACTCCCATTGGGATGGCTAAAATAAAAAACGCAGAAAACAGCAAATGTTAGCAAGGATGTAGGGAAATTGGAACCCTTACTCATTGCTGGTGGGAATGCAAAATGGTACAGCCGTTGTGGAAAACAGTGTGGCAGTTCCTCAAAAAACTAAAACTACCATATGACCCAGCAATTTTACTCCTAGGTATATACGCAAAAGACTTGAAAGCAGAGACTCAGAGACTTGTACACCAGTGTTCATTGCAGCACTATTCACAATAGCCAAAAGGTGGAAACAGCATAAATGCCCATTAAGAGATGAATGGATAAACTAAACATGGTACATACATAACAATGGAATACTACTCAGCTAGTAGGAGAAATGAAGTCCTGATACATCTACAGTATGGATGTTTTTAATGGGGAGTAGGGAGGCAATCCAGGCAGAGGAAACAGAACGAGCAAAGGTACATGGGTGGGAAGTCACCACTGGCTTTGTCCAGCCCAGTTTGTAGGAATTCAGTTCAGCAATATCTTTCTAAAGACCTACTGTGTACAAGGCATAGCTCAGCTGTTAGGGGAAGCTCAGCTGAGCCAGGTGCAGACCTTGTCTTTAAGTGATTCCCTGTCCATGCAGAGGAGTGTGTGCTTGATTCTGGGGGGCCGCATGCTCTTGGGAGAAAGCCTAGCACCCTGCAAATGCCCCTGCCTCTCCCCACTCACATCTCTCTGAATCTGTCTTGCATCATAGGCTAAGCTGCGCACCCGGAACCGCTCAGCTGAGGAGGGGGAGCCGGCAGAGAGCAAGTCAACCCAGAAGGAGTCTGCGGTCCAGCGCTCCAAGTCCTGCAAAGTCCCTGGCCTGGGGAAGCCCCTCACATTACCTCCCAAGCCAGAGAAATCCTCAGGGTAGGTGTCCTAAGCTGTGGGTATTGACTGACCTCACTGTATTAGCCTCAAAAGGGAAACCCCATGCAAGGTGTGGAATCACCTGCAGAAAGCAGTTTGACCTTTGTTCCTGGTTCTTTTGAGTTGGACCAACACCTGAGGCTAATGAGTGAGGACTGACCAGACCAAGAGGGACCACCTGGGAGCCTGATGCTGACTAAGCCCCAGGAGACACCGTGTAATCTATCATGGCCATGTGGGGAGGCCGATACGAGCCCTGAACTCTGAGGTGCAGATGAGCTTCCTGGTTGGTGACCGTGTATGAGAGAGGGTAGCATGTCCCTTATTGGGACATGGAAACTCTGTGCTAGGGCCTTCCCAGACCTCACCCTGTGCATCTCTTAATTTTTATCCTTTTGGTTGTGATAAATCTGTAGCCAAAAGTATGGTATACTCTCCGTGAATTCTGTGAGGCAGTTCCAGCGAACTCATGGGCAGTAAGAGCCAGCAGGGGCTGGCGTCTACCTGTTTGGCAGTCTGAAAGAAGGTGTCCTTCTAACTTTTGAGGTCTGACCCAGCTCTGGGTGGCTAGGTCAGAGAAAATGCTACATGGGCAGCTGGTCTGAAAGATGGTGTCTGTCTAACTTGTGAGCTCTGTCCCAGCTTTGGGTGGCCAAGGTCAGAGAAGGGAGTGCCGTGGGGGCAGCTGGCATTGAGGATGGAGAAGTGGGAAAGTGAGGGCTGGTTCCATCCCCATGTTTTGGGGATTGGACTCATGCTGATCCTTACTGCACAGTTGGCAACAAAGGTGGAATTTACTTGCTTTACCCCTTGCTTAGTGCACCCCAATTTACAGAGGAAACTGAGGACCAGAGAGGAGGTTGACATGCTCAAGTTTAACTGTATTTAGTTTGTGGCAGAGCTCTGGTCTCTTCAGCTAGACCCCAGGCTACCTGTTTGGGTTGGAGGGCAGGTTTATGTCCCTACCAAGCCTCCTCATTTTGTTCGGCTTCCCTAAAATTTGCCTTTTGCCCTTTGCCCTGTCTTCTAGGTCAGAAGGATCATCACCCAACTGGCTGCAAGCCCTGAAGCTGAAGAAGAAGAAGGTCTGAGAAGTCACTGAGGTGAGGTCAGGTTCCCAGGCTAAGTTCCTGCTTGGGGCTAGGGGAGTAGAATCCAGGGGTGGGTAGGGCTGGCCCTGGAGGACTCAGGAGGCCCTAGACCCTCCCCTCTTCCAGGCTGGAGGGAGGCTGGAAATAGGCAAGTGAATTCAGGCTCCAGAGAGCTGGTGAGTCCCTCGGCTCCCAGGGCTGGTCCCAGGGCAGGGTGCTATCTGGCCTGGCATGGAAGAGGAGGAGGGCTTCCATCTCAGCCTCCCTCCCTGCACTCAGGGACAGTCCACCATGCACTGTGGATGACCTGAGTGTGGTCAGACGGCCCTTCTGGTCTGAAATCCTCAGGGGACTCACCAGGCCCTGGTGTGGAGGCCAGTCTTAAGGACAATTAGCAGGGCTCTTCCTCATGACTTGGGGGGAGCCAGGGTGGGCATTGGGGCAGGGAGGAAGCAGAAGTCTCACCTCTACCCAGTGTGGCCCCCTCCTCTGACTGCCGTTCCTCCCTCCATTGCAGGTCCCTCCCATCTGGCAGTCTCAGGCAGTGCTGTTCCTTTGGGGTCCCCAGGCGAGGAGACGGCTGGAGCCCCCTGTGCCCAAGCTGCAGCCTCTGTCCCTCCCCACCTCTGAGGAGTGTCTGGGGAGGCACATTTATGCACTTTGTACCCCCTTCCCAATTCCCCCCTACCTGCCTGCCCCACCCGGGTTCAGTCTTAGTGGTTAAAGGTTTTGGTCCCTCCCCCGCTCTCCACTCCTCCCTCTCTGCTTCCTCCAGCTTCCCTTGGGTTTTCTTTTGATACCAATTTATAGCATTTTTTTATAAAAGCCTTTGATTTTTGTAATGGATGGAGCCTGCCCCAGCCCTGCCCCGGCTCCCCTGCCGCCCTGCCAGGTGCCCCACAGAGACCAATGACGTTTTGCCACTTGAAACAATAAAGTTTTTTGGGAATTGGTGCTGCCCAGGCTGTGGTGTGTGGTCATGGCTCCCTGTCCCTCCTCCCAAGGCTGAAGTTAGGAGGTCCTAGTTCTGGCTCTGGAGCTGCCTCTGACATTGAACATGCCACTTTTGCTTCACTCTCTGAGCTCAGTTTCCCTGACGAGTGGCTCATTGGTTACAATAGGCTGATTGCTGATTCAAACCACCTCCAAATCTCAGTAGCTTCACACGAAAGATCTGTTCCTTATCATGGCACAATTGAGTGTGGGTTGTTAGTAGGTGTGCTCTCTGCACCTTGCAGTCATTCATAACCCAGGCTCCTGCCCTGTTGTGGCTCGGCCATCTTCAGGGGCCTTGAGCCCTCTGCTGCATCTAGTGAGGGGAGGGGAGGACCCTGTGGGAGACCCACATTCCATTGGCTGGGATTCAACTCATGGCCCCTGCTAACTGCAGGGGAGGCTGGGAAATGTAGTTTGGTTGTGTGGCCAGAGAGAGAGGACCAGATGTAGGCGAAAATTTACCTGTCTTAATAAAGTGTTGGTTTCTGCAATCCCTAAGGGTCCTTTTAGCTCAGACATTCTGGAATGTTCTGTAGAGTCTTGACTTCCCTCAAAGCCTCAGAAGGTGGGCTCTGATCTTCTCCACCCAAGCCCCTGGCCAGTGGTGTCCTGCTGTGCCTCAGCCCAGTTTTCTGATATCCTGGTTTCCTCAGACTTGCCAACTTCTTTCAGGGCCAGCATCGTCTTTCCCTGTGGTTGGGTAAAAGGAGAAGATCCAGTGGCCTCGCCTTGATGGGGCCCTGACTGTAGCAAGTCAGAGCTACAACTGAATATCGAAACCATCTCATTCACTCAGTGCTTCTTAGCCTTTTTTTTTGTTGCTGGGGGGAGAATCGTAAACCTAATTTTAAAATCTTATCAAAGATACAGACTCTCCTCTAGAAAAATGCACAGACACACTTTCACAAACCATTTCCAGGCATTTGTCAGAGCGCAGGTCCCCATCGTTTGCTTCCTAGAGCAGTGGCTCTTAACCCTTACTGTGCATAAATCCCTGGGGTGCTCATTGAAAATGCACACTCCTGGGCCCACTCCAAGAGAATGCAATTCAGTAGATGTAGGAAGTGTGTGCTTAGAAATCTGCATTTTGAGAAGACCCCTGAAATGGCAGGAAAGGCAACGGGCCTCCAATGGGCACCAAACTGTGCCCCAGCTGAGTGTGTGCCTGGCTGCCCCTGTACTGGCCCTCACATAGCCCACAGAGCCGAGCTGGCACCAGCTTCGTCCCCTTCTCCTGCCCCCTCCTCTCCGTAGGACTGGCAGGAGCCCAAGTCAAACACTTAAGACTCATTAGTGGAACAAATGGAGCCTGGGCCGGTCCCAGCGCCCGGGTTCTGTGTTGGCAGGGAGAAGAGGGCAGGGGCCCCATTTCTGGGGAAGTTGGAGCTGAATCCAGCTCATGGGTGGGGGTATCCAGACTCCCCCTCTGTCAGGAGGGGCGTTTGTTGGAATCAGGGAGTGGGGAGGGCCACACACATGATCTTTGACAAATAACGTACTGAGGGGTGCTCCCTGGGAAAGAGACTTCATTCTTGGGCAGCCATTTCTCAGAACATGCCTGGGGTTCTTGGACATGGCCTCAGAGGGCAAGTCTTAGGCCTCTGGACCTGGATTTGAATTTTGGAAATAGCTGGAAGTCACTTGGATGCCCGCTTGGGGAATACTTTGGATGAGCAAACTGGTGATCATTCATATACCATGGACTGCCAAAAGAACAAACAAATCTGTCTTGGAAGAAGTACAGCCAGAATGCTCCTTAGAAGCAAGGATAGCAAGACT